TGGCTGTGGTTTTTTCTTTTTTTATGGAACTTACTCAAGGTCACTCAACTAGTAAGAGCCAGGATCTGAATGCAGGGACTCTGGCCCACAGGTCACTACACCGTGTTCTCTCTGAGAGCACTGGCTCAGGTGTGTGAGAATCAGGCGCACGGGGCCCAGAGAACTGGAGAGTGCTTGCTTCGTGGCAGCCAAAACTTTTGTTGCTCTGTGTCCTAACCTTTTATTTCAGGCCTCCCCAGCACTCCCCAAACTCTCCATAAGGTCCTGTTCATTCTGCTTCCTCAATCTCTCTCTGTCCCCTTCTCTCCCTTCTCCTCCTGACCCACCACAGCCTTAGTGAAGGCCAAGTCAGTTCACAGCCGACTGCCACTGGTGTGCTGGTCGTCATGCTTGCCTCTCACTGGCCCGTGCTCGACAGCCGGGCTCAGCAGGTCTCTCCTTCTAAAGGGCCAGGTAGGAACTGTTTCAGGTTTTCCAGGCCATAAGTTTTCTATAAGTTAGTTACTCAGCTCCGCTGATGCAATGTGATGTCAGCGCAGTGTGACATCAGTGTAGAACAAATGGAAATGGCTGTGTTCCAATAAAGCTTTATTTACAAGAACAGGCACCCCTTGCTCAATTAGCCAGTATCACAGATCTCTTAATCAATCCTACTCCTTCCACGGAACTGAATTCGACATGCTCCCCAAACCTTAGAGAATACGACAAAAAATAGAAAAGTACCAGGAAAAAACACGAGTGAATGTTTTTATAACCACAGGGCAGAAAAAAAATCTATCCAATACATAAAAGTTAAATATCTCAGTGGGACAAAATAAAATGGAACAACAAAACATGACAAAAAAATACGAGTAAGAAATGACTGAGAGTATAAGAAACAAAGAAGAGAAAACACAAATGATCAAGATAGAGAAAAAGATGCTAAATCCCATTATGACTTAAAATATGAAACCCAAGAGACATAAAAATCTTTTTCTGTTACCCTAGAGGCAAAACCGGTAAAGACTGCTTATGCACAAGCACCGGATACAGAGGGAATCAGATTCCCACGTGCTGGAAACACCCTGCGTGTTTAGCGGTAGAGGGTGAGGTAAGGAAAAAAAAGGCAGTTCTACTTAATGGAAGGGTATGCAGTGGCAAACACTTTCACTGGAAGTTATGCTGCTAAGAAAGTAGCAAACTGCAGAACTGTGTGTGTGTGTGTGTGTGTGTGTGTGTGTGTAATGATCCTATTTCCATTAAAATGTACAACCATACCTATGGCTCTAGATCTATTTACATACATGTAGAAGAGGCTACATTTCAAGTAGGGGTTTTATCTAGAATGGCTAGAAAGGGTACTTTTTCAGTTTTGGATACATGCTTCTGTATTATTTGAATATTTATCGCCATAAGTTCGTAATACTCGGGTAGTAATTAAAATTTAAATAAATTAAAATAAATTAAATAATTAAAGTGAAAATTAATTAAAATTAAAATTAAAAAATAAATAAATAAATGAGACAGAACACAAAGTGATTGTGTGTTTCTCCAAAGAACCTTCCAGAACTTCCCGTTGCTTGGGCATAAGAGCCAAGCTTCTGAGCATGAAATGCATGCCAGTGTGGCACTATGGCCCTGCTGAACTTTCAGACTCCCAGTGACCGTCTCCTCTGTCTCACGCGCAGGTCCTGCTGCATTCCTCTTGGTATCCACAGCTTCCAGAATATGCCAGGATGCATTCAGCTTCTTTGCCTTTGCAAAGCCTCCTCCCTCTGCTTACATACAATCCTTGCCCTCTGTACCTAGTAAGCACTCATTCACCTCAACCCCCTTAACAGGCAGAAACAACACTCCCTTCTCTGGGTCCCCACTCTGCCCTACGATGCAGCTGCTACAACACTCAGAACACCGACTGCCCTAAGCAAGTAAAGATAAGAGTAACAGTGTTAATAATAGTTAATTTAGCATCTACAAGGTGCTGGGCACCTGAAGGTCTCACACGCATTATCTCGTTTAATCCTTAAGATAAGGCTACAGGAAAAAAAAAAAAGATAAGGCTACAGGAGTACTGTTATCTCTACCTTACAGATAAACTACTGCACTCGAGGTTAACGACCCAAGGTCACGAAGGTTACTAGAAGTTCTGGGTTTGAAACCCAGAGGCATCTGACTGCAGTTGTTTTATCCGTATATATCTGCATGCCTACAAAACTCCCCCCACCATATGATTAGCTTCTTCTTGAGGACAGAAATCCTGCTGTCTCCGTATCACAAGCATCTCGCACAAAGGTACTGGCGGACACACAACAAATACTGAAGGGAGACCAACTCCTAGTATCATCGAGTTCCGCCCACTACACAACGCAGGGATTGATCCCTTCCCTCAAAGATAATCGGCTTCTACCTGGATGGTTCTAACGGACAGGGACCACGGCCTCACACGGCAGCCCATTTCCCCTCCCATCCGATCGTTCTCCTGAGAGCTCTCCTTCGTGCTGCTGAAATGCAATCTCCTTGTTCTGCCCTCCCGACGGTACATCAGCAGCACGGTTCCTTTGAATCGCAGGAGCTGTTGCTACTCGAACACGGCCAGTCTCCCTTCTCTCGTCTTCCTTCTCCCTCCTCCCTTCTCTCTCCCAAGCCAAACAATCTCGTTCCCCAAGGGACAGGGTTTCCATATCCCCTCTTCCTTGCAGTTGTCCTGCTCTGGACGACTTCAATTTCTCATGTTCCCTCTAACGGCAAGTCCTTCCAAGTGAGAAGCACTTGGACTCAGAGACTACAAGTACTCAACACGGAGATGGCAAGACTTTTTGGCCTCGAACAACTTAGGGAATATACATTACATAGACAAGCATACATTTACCTGTAATTATTTGGAAACTAACCTTTGAGGTGCTCCTTGTGTCAGGCCTGCTATTGGGTACTTTGAATGCATTATGCGATTTAACGCTTCGAGGATTTATTATTATTCCTACTCTACAGGTGAGAGAGTTGTCTCAACAAGGCTGAGAAGCTGCCCAAGGGCTCGCTTGACTAGTAAATGTCCTAGCCGGGATCTGAACTCAAGTGTGCTGGGCCTCAAAGTCAGATTCCAAGTTTTGAGAAGGAAGAGTCGGGCCAAGAGCAGACAAGAGAAGGCTTAACGGAGAAGTCTTGAAAGGCTCTAAATGGATGTAAGAGGGGCAGACCAGTCTCCCATGGAGGCAGGAGGAATGGGTATGATGGGTGGAAGGCCTAGCCTAACTGGCAAGGTTAGGTGGGAGGAGGAGTCTGTTTATGGGGAAGAGTTTGATCATTCCCGATCATAGCTTTTCTCTAAAGCCGGGCAGAGTTGTGTCAGGAAGCAATACAGAAGGACTGCAGACTCTTGAGTAGGTAAGGAATACGTAAAAGCAATGTTTTTGGGAAGTTGGTCCAGCAGGAGAGAGTCGGAGACAACCGGCTGCAGTGACCAGAGGCCACTGGACCTGAGCTAGGACGGCAGCTTCAGTAACGGGGATGAGTCATCTCATGGGCGTTACAAGGCACACCAATGCTAACAGTGGGACGTTGGACTAGAGATGAAGGGAGACTGGAGAGCCAAGAATAAAGAATGAGGCTAAGGTCTCCCATCTCGGGGAAGCAAAGAATGCTGGTATTACCGCCAGGAATGGGGCGGTGAGGGAGAAGCCGTCTGCGAAGCGAGAGCGGGATGCGGACCTGAACACACGTTCAATGATGTGCACACGAAGCAAGAAGCTCCTGCTGTCGACAGAGCCTACTTCTGCTGCCTTCAGACTGAGGGGACTCATTTTTGGGGTGACATCCTTACGATGACATCTGCCATCATTCTTACCACGGCAGCAACATCACACGCCATTTGTATAAATGACAAAAGATAACTTTTCATTGAAAGGTGGTGATTCCTTCCTCGGCTGCCACAAAGCACGGAGGCCTGTTTTCAAGGAGGCACCTGGAATTAGCCTTACCGTTCTGGAGTTACACAAGGTAAGTCTTACTATGTTCTTCTATCTGGCAAACTTTCTATGCCTGTTTTCCATCCCCGACTCCCACAAAAAAAAAAAAAAAAGATTTTAAGTGGCTTTGGTCCCTGAGGAAAGAAGTTACCTGATATACTTCAAGGCTCAACTCTCTGGAAAAACACACACACACCACTCTTTCCCTGGTCTTCTCTACTCTCCAAAGTCTCTCCGTCTTATCTGTTCATTTTGCCATGTTGACTCAGTGACACTGCTTTCCACTTCTTTCCTCAAAGAGCGCCTGGTTTAGCTTTTTATTCCCCCTCCGTATTTTTTCTCTCTACTCTCGTCCAACAAGAAAAGGAGAGGCGGGGTCCTCAAGCTGCAAAATGTCCCAGGATGTACCTTCAGAACAAAGTTAGCCCAGAATAAGCTACTTCTAAGTTTAGCTCTGAGACAGGCTGATGACCATAAAGCTTTGCCTAACTCACAGATGCTATGACAACCGAATGACGTTGTTACGGCTTAATACCTAATGCGTACAATAAAATTTGGTACAGTTCGCTGGCCTGAGGCCACACAATCTGGTTCCAGAAATACACTCTAGTCTCGGCATGCCTGGGACAATCCCAGAGGCCCTACGAGAAGCAAAACCCAGTGGAGTGCTCGGAGTCCCCGTGGCCACAGGCGTGCAGGCCTTTTTGTTTTCAGAACTCAAAACAGGACTCATTACCCCACTGCCATCTTTAAAGGAGAGTAGGCCTAAGAACACAAAAGACAAGGAAATAAGCAGGATAGGCACTCCACTTTAACTGCAAATAAAAAAGACTAGTTTTAGTACAATGTGTTTACTTCAAAACTATTACAGCTCTGTGTAAACAGAATTTGGAAAAGCTGATTTTGAATCCCAAGTAAATCGAAGAGAAATAAAAAAACACTAATAGAAGATGGGTAGTCTCAAGATACTCCTTTTGGTGCAGTAACAAAATCAGCATTTCGTTTAACTAAAAATAAAGTTTCGAGTAAGAACCTGACTGCAGCAGAAAAACAAGGTACCTGTGAGTTTGATTTTGGACAGCCGCGCCAAAATTCCTGGCAAATCGTCCAGATGCAACTTCATCTCTTTCCAGTGCTTTTCGTCCTTTGTCTCTGTCCCCGCATCTAGCGAGCCTTCAACTACGGAGGCCGATTCCAGTTCGAGCAATTCTTTGTCACCTGATTTTCTGGATAAAGGTAGGCTGGGGGGCGGAAGAGGTCTCATTGCACAGATTTCTGCTTTGGCCTGACCCAAAGGTGTTTTCTCAAGGAGAGGAGATGCCACGGGTTCTGGCTTCCGTTTTACTTGCTGGTTGAGGCTTCTGTTCAGTTGTGTGACATACTAAATAAGGAAAGTACGTGTTACTGTAAACCCAAGGCCCCAAATGCTCTTATACCATTGTTGAGCTACGCCTCCTATCAGTCTGTTACAATAGTGGATCCCCTATACCTTTAGTAAATACATGCTGAATTAACGAATATTTGAGTGTTTGTTACATGGAAACAACTACACTAAGAGGTACAGTGGACCTAACTGACACCTCGGTGATGGTTCTTAATTCTATGGTTTAGAAAATCCTGGACATATAAGTTCCTTGAAAGAAAAATAAATTTCGTATTCCCTCCAACACGATCCCCAAAAGGTACCAAATACGTTGGAAAAAAGGAAGTTCTCCCAAGTCAACCTGGTGACTTTCCACGCTTCTAGGCAAATAGTGCAGAGAAGGGCATGGCGGTAGGGAACACTTTAGGGCTCAGTGAAAGGAAAGCACTGTGTCTGTGGAAAGAACGTTGAGCTTTACCGTCTGACAGCCTCTACGGTTTGCCAGCAAGGAGCAGTAACTATTACTAACCTAGTGAGGCACTGTTTAGTTTTACATAATATCGGTCTTCATAGTCTATAAAGTATATATCTTATCTGTGCTTCTTAAAAAGTCTATTTAGGAAGTCGGATCATTATCAGTATCTCCTTCTTTAGCTTATAGAAGAGAAAACCAAGGCTCAGAAATAAAGCGACAGAGTCAACAACCAGTTAGTTGTAACTAACAAGAGTCAACAACCAGGGGCGCCTGGGTGGCTCAGTGGGTTAAAGCCTCTGCCTTCGGCTCAGGGCTTGATCCCAGGACCTTGGGATTCCAGGGTCCTGGGATCAAGCCCCACATCGGGCTCTCTGCTCAGCGGGGAGCCTGCTTCCTCCTCCTCTCTCTCTCTCTCTACCTGCCTCTCCGCCTACTTGTGATCTCTGTCAAATTAAAAAAAAAAAAAAGAGTCAATAACTAGTTAGTTGTAAGTGGCCCTGGTTCTTGGAACCACCTACTCTGATAACCAGTTAAGAGACTTTTCTGTTATATCGCAAAGACTTGAAATTATATACACTAGTCCTAGAAAGGAATTAAGAACTCATGAAGGAACTCAGAATTCTGCGTACGTAAGAAAGGCATTATACATCCTTGTATACATCCTTGAGTTTCTCTTCTAAATACTCACTATTCTTGATCCCCAACTTAAGAAATCTGAACATTCCTAGAAATGTAAATCCCTTATCAAAATAATGAGCTTCAGGGGCACCTGGGTGGCTCAGTGGGTGAAAGCCTCTACCTTCGGCTCCAGTCATGATCCCAGGGTCCTGGGATCGAGCCCTGCATTGGGCTCTCTGGTCTGAGGACAGCCTGCTTCCTCCTCTCTCTCTGCCTACCTCTCTGCCTACTTGTGATTTCTGTCAAATAAATAAATAAAATCTTAAAAAAAAAAAAATGAGCTTCATTAAGATTTTAAGTTAATTTTATATTTACATTAGAGTAGGCATTCTAAGTTAAAAAAGAGAAGCATCAAATCAGATTTGAGATTGTGAACTTGCTAACGGTTCATGCTTGCATCAATTACGAGTTTTTAGTTAATATTTCTCCATTCTATACTTTTCTATTTAATGGCAAATGTCCTCACTGGTAATTAAGAATAAGCTACCATGTCGCCCACAGGATCATGAAGCCAACCTAGAGGGCCAGGACGTAGGAGTAATGCCCACTATAAAATACCTAGCAAATTCTAAAATCTCAATTTGCTTGAGTCTACTCAGAGGTGCATGCATTTAAAAGACTTTCAGATGCACTGCTGATGTAGGAAAACAGGAAGGTCACCCTATTAAACAAATTATTTCTGTATCATTGATATATTCACAGAACTTTAAAGAATTTAAAGAGATGTATGATAATGGTTCAGCTTTTCCTAATTTTCTCCTAGGTGAAATATGCCAGAAGTTTTCAATCTTTCTCCAAACTTAATCAGTAAGTTCAAGATCATACTTTTAACCTCAAATGCCAGGACTACTCTGGTTTCAGTTAAGGATAATCAAAACAAGGAATTAAAGTTTTGGAAAAACTCAAGAGGACACGATATAAAAGTCTTTTCCAAGCGGTACTTCTTACAACTCTTCTTTTCACAGGAATTTCTCAAATTCCCTCACACAAAGAAAGGAAAGGCAGACAGCGGCAGAGAGGGGATGGTCTTCCGAACATACCATGCGCCTGAGGAAGGTCAAGTGCTGAAATGTAATCCACTGCTTACTGACGCTCCTGAAAAGATGCACGAATGTGTGAGGGGATTCCTGCATCGCTCTTCTCTCTAGATACCGGACACATCCTCCTACCCGACCTGTAATAGAGAACAGGGGAAGACAAGGCTCATAGGATTAGTGCTTCTCACCAAATGCTGACTGCGCCTACCGAGAAGCAAAGCCGGCCACCACTGTAAGCACGTGCGATGGGTCAGACCTCTGATCGGATTCGTGAATCACCGCCACGTATCAGCTTGATTTACTAAATGGAATTCTTCCACAGGGATGGGGCAATTTTTCATTTCAGGATCATTATGCTTTTATTATATGAAATGCTGAGATGACCACACTGTAGATCTTTTTGAGGAAAATATAAGACAATCAGTTCAATCACTTTTAAAGATAGCGGAAAATGAGAAACACAGGTTTTCTCAGTAAGAGACAGTAAACTGGAAAATACATTTCAGATGAATGCTGGGGCCATGCTGGGTAAGACAACTAACCAAAAGGGAGGGGAGAGCGTCCTCAGTGAAGTTTGGGTCTATCAATCTAGGCAGGAAGAAGCCTATAGAGCTGAATCTGCCTTTTAATCAAACCAAACCTCTCAAATGTAACAACCCAATGCTTCTGTGTCAGGCCATGTAAGTGATGGTCCCATGGCTTCCATGACCCAAAATCTTTCTCGTTCTCCGCCACCTTCATGCCTCTCCTCTTGCTGTGTCTAGCCACTTTAAGACAATCATGTCCCACTGCATACTGTCCCCAAGGAAATGCAATTATGGGGGTAATTTCTAAGCTTTGACTCATTTCCAGGGTCATCATGCCTGCTTCCAATTGCTCTCCCAGTACCTCCACAAGGATGGGTTGTGATAGGTGGGTCTTCTGTGGGAAGCCCAGGATAGACATTACTCACCCGCACATGGACCTATAACTCATTACTCTCCACTCAGCACACCACACATTTCACAATTTGTTCGTCTTTGCTGATGCTTCTCTGGCCAGCTGTGTCTTGTCTCCACTCTCTGCCTGTCAAATTTTCAAAGTCTCTTTTCAACTACTCTACCACTTTATACTCTTTTTTATGGCACTTCTTCTTGTCAATTGTTTCCATCACCACAGTTTTGGGTACCTTGATGGCAGTAATTCTCCTTTTCTCACCTCTGCTACAACAGCTGGCAGAGCACTTTCTCTGCAACAGTGAGCTCATGTTTGATGACTGGATTTTCTACATAATTTACTTGGAAGGATCACTGCCCCTCTGGATACATGGCGATTATCTTAGACCAGAGTAACTCACTTCCTCACTGGAGTCATACTCTCCAACCTCAGTTAATTACGAAATGCTTGTTTTCCATATATATGAATATGCGTTGCCTGTATATGCTTACAGGTAGGAACAGCAGCTCTGAAATCAGTCCTCTGAAATTTCCTTTCAAATGAATCCTGATATGCAAGGGTTTGCTTGTTTTGTTCGACAGTGTACAATTTTCTTCTTTTGTCTTGACATTATTCTTTGGGAAGACAGGATTTTAATAATAAAAGATCATGCGGGGGGGGGGGCTGGGTGGCTCAGTTGGTTAAGGATCTACCTTTGGCTCAGGTTATGATCCCGGGGTCCTGGGATGGAGCCCCCCCCAACCCCTTCAGGCTACCTACTCAGTGGGGAGCCTGCTTCTCCCTCTCCCTCTCCTTCTGTCCCTTCCCCTGCTCATGTGCATGCATGTACTCTCTTTTTCTCTCAAATAAATAAAATAAAAATATAAAGATAAGAGATTATATAAAAAAACATCAAAGTTTTATTATTTGGGCCTTAATTTCAAGACCAGTTCCGAGGTCATTTAGTCCAATGAGAAATACAAGTTGCTGGGAGAGCAGAACCATGTTGGAAAATATCTCTCAAGGTTAAGTGGGTCAAAATGAGATTTTACAGAATAGTAGTTAAGGAAAAAGAAAAAAAAAACAGCTGGAAACTACACTTTTAAATGATGAAAATACTTCATTCAGTCAAAACATGTTCCATTTCCATGAATCAGTGCTTAGAAACTGAAAGACATTTCAGCCCTGTGTAAACAAATATAGGTTTGAAGATACCCAGAGCTTACAAGAGTTAACATTAAAAACCTGGAAACGTGACCATATCCACCATTCAGCACCACACTGAGTCACAACGGTAGAGCTTTGTAAATGTGATGCACAGACGTGTAACTGTAGGTCCTGAATTTCTCTTAATGGCAATAAAATACTTTGAATTTTTAGAAGCAAAAGCAGCACAACTGCTAGACACCTGATACAGTCACACGTTGCCTTTCTGCCACCCCTTCCCGCCATGGTGCTTCCATATCAGACTCCTGTAATGATCTTTCAAGTGGATCCTAGCAGTTTGTACAGGCCACTTACTAGCAGATTTTTTGGGAAACTGTGTTCATGGTTTCAGGAAGCTTCGTACCAGCATTGAAAAAGACTGATCCAGCACCAAATCACGTAAAGTCAACTTACTAGAACTGGGGAACTCTGAGCAGTGAAGTGAGACTGTTCTTCTAGGAAGCTACAAGTACAGGACTGAAAGGCAGAGGAATGCACACTGGAAAAACCTCCCAATAGAGGTAACAATTCAAGCGCTAAGAAAGGGATGAGCTCCCTGAGAATCAGTGCCTAGGGTCATGATCAAAGCACACTCACAGTCAGGAATGACAGAAAAAGGAATCACAGACCTTTTTTTAAAAAAAACTTTTCATTATGAAAAATTTCAGTCACAGACCCAGCTTCAACAATTATTAAAACCATGGCCACTCTTGTTTCATCTCTACTCCCTCCCGCTTCCCACTCTCCTCCCCTCTTTTTGAACCAGAAAGGACCTTTGAGATCATCTCGTTCAACTGCCTCATTTTATAGATGAATAAACTCAATTCCAGCAAACACAAATGATATGGCCTGAGATTACACAGCCAAAACAGGCCCATAAAATAACAACATGATAAGAGAAAAGGAAGAAAGGAGTTTCAGAGTCACTGTGATCAGCAGTGCTCTGTGCTGCAAACAGCGTGTGACAGGTGAGGCCTAAAACCCGGATTTGAGGGGCGCCTGCGTGGCTCAGCGGGTTAAAGCCTCTGCTTTCGGCTTAGGTCATGATCTCAGGGTACTGGGATTGAGCCCCGCATCGGGCTCTCTGCTTAGCAGGGAGCCTGCTTCCTCCTCTCTCTCTGCCTGCCTCTCTGCCTGCTTGTGATCTCTGTCTGTCAAATAAATAAAATCTTAAAAAAACAAAAAACAGGATTTGACCAGAGGAGTCCCTGGCTTCTCCTACCCATCTCCATCACAGACCAGGAGCAACACATTCCTCTCACAGCCACTTGTTATCATCAAAACTACTGGCGGCAAAACAATCCCCAACCTCCTCTTTAACATTTCTTTAATTAATCTCTCTAATGAATGGACAAATACGATTAATGGACAATTACTGAGAGTCGACAGTATAAACCAGGTACTGTTTTGGGCCGTGGGGGCACAGAGACCAACCCGAGAGGAACTGTCCCCAACCTTCACAGGGTTTTTACATTCTAGTTGGGAGAAACACATAATAAACCTATATATAAATAAACAATTACAATGGCACCTAGGTGGCTCGGGTCATGATTTCTGGGGTCCTGGGATGGAGCCCCGCTTGGGGAAATCCCTGCTCAGCGGGGAGCCTGCTTCTCCCTCTCCCTTTGTCCCCACCCCCCCACCATGCTCTAAGAAATAAAATCTTAGAAAAAAAATTACAGACTATGTTAACCATGGGGAAAGAAGTAAGAGTGACGTGAGAAAAGAGGGGCTCTACCTTAAATAGGGTGGTCAGGGTAAGCATCTCTGAAAAGGTGCCACTTGAGCTGAGACCAAGTCACGGAAGCACCTACCATACTGAACATGTGGTCGTTACAGGTCCTTCAAGTGGAAGGATGATACCAGGGCCCACGCTCATGGTAGAAACCCAAAACTCTGAGAAGGACTGTAGCCCACTATCTACAGTTGTCATCCTCTGTATCATTTTATCTTTATCGTGACAACTTCATCCTTGTCAGCACAACCCCGCTGTATTGGAACAAGGCTTCTGAGTGAGGGCAAAGCGCTCGCCAGTCCTTAGAAGGGAGCTTACAAGTAACTTATACCTGTAACGAGGAACTGAGACTCTGACAAACCAAGAGATTCGTGGGGCCCCAAGCTTCTATTCCATCCTCTCCACCAGCTTCCACTCGAAAAACCGAAAGCAGCCCCGGACACCACCCCTCCGGGGGAAGGGGACGGAGGCTGTGAGGACCACCAGGACCACAGTGCAAGACTAGTCCCTAGCTCCACAGTGTCTTCACTTCAGCCTGCTCCAGAGGTCACTTCCCCCCACCGGTGCCCAGCCGACCTCGCCAAGGGCTTCCAAGGTTGCAGCCAGCCGGAACCACGGCGTTGCACGTGGCCACAGGATGAGAATTTTCCCAAAGTCGTGCCCAAGGACGGGTGCCGTACCTGTCAGGAGGCGTGAGGAAAGAGTGTGCGGGGATGCGGCCATAACGGAACAGTCCGGCCGCTCCCCGGGATCCCCGTGTCCTCCTCTCGCCTCACCGCCTGCTGGGGGCCGCCATCTTCCTTCCCCGCCCCCCGTGGGAACGGGGCCGCTTCCTGTGCGTCACTTCCGGCGGGCGAGACGCGGAAGGAAAGGGCTGCGGCTGGCGGTGTTCGCCCCTGGGCGGGCGGGAGAGTGCCGGGCTGGAGGTTGGAGGCCTGAGGTTCCCTCTAGAATCGCGAAGAGCACGGTGTGGCTGAGTCTCCCGGAAAAGAGGCCGCGCCTCCGTTCCCAGAGGTTTCCGGGGCAGGGCTGGACTGCGGTCCCCGCGCGCTGCCATTTCAAGTCACGTTTGGGATGCTTCTTGCACACGGGATCGTCGAGAGAAAGCGGGTCTTGGGACTCTGCCTCCTCCCTCCAGTCTGATCAGTGGCAGTTTTACTCTGTTGGCTGTCAAGTGGGAGGACCGGTAGACTCGGGGTTTCTTGTCCCCGAGCCCCCTCCCCGGGGTGTGGAGTCATCAAGAGTATCTCAGGATGTAGCAGGTGCGTGTGGTGGTCGGTTTCGGGGTCTGGTGAGAGGGTCGTAGTCGAGTCCTCCCTTCACCTCTGGCCTTGGGACCTGTTTGAGCAAATTCCGTAAGCCCCTCGAACTTCATTATCTAGCTGTACAACGGGGGTGATAACATCTATTTTAGAAGATGGGTGGGGTGAATTAAATAATGTCTCTCTAATGGGTAGCCAGGCACTGCTATGTATAGGCTCTGATAAACGATCATTAGCGTTGTGACCACGAGAGCAGATCTCAGAAGCCTTTCTTTCCAGTTTTTTTTTTTTTTAAGGTAGGAGTTTCTCAGGTAAAAGGACACTGAAGAAAAAAGATTGAGCTTTTGGAAAAGAGGAGAGAAATAGGGAATTGCATTCTTTTTTTTAAGATTTTATTTATTTATTTGACAGAGTAATCACAAGCAGGCAGAGAGAAGCAGGCAGAGCGAGAGGAAGGGAAGCAGGCTCCCTGCTGAGCAGAGAGCCAGACTTGGGGCTCCATCCCAGGACCCTGGGATCATGACCTGAGCCGAAGGCAGAGGCTTTAACCCACTGAGCCACCCAGGCGCCCCAGGGAATTGCATTCTATATGTGCGATTCTGTCTTCATGGATAAGGTGATAGCCGTTTTGGTTCTTCTTAGCTAACATTGCTAGACTCTGGATAGTAAGAGGCCCGGGATCTGTGGGAGCTCCCAGTAGGGGAGTGGGGGCTGGGAGAGGTTCGGTTAATAGAGTCAGCATGATGGGGTCATGTAAAAGGTACTGTAGAAATACAGATGAGATAACAGTTCTGATTGGGTCAGGGAAGCAAGGTCTCAGAGATCTGAACTCTACTCAGTTGGAGGACAGTAGGTTTTACCTGCAGAGGTGGAAAAGAGCACTCCGTGAAGAGAAAAATGGCATTAAATGCCGTGTGGAACGTTTTCAAACTCCTGATACTTTATTGTGGGCCTTTATAAACATTTGATGTTCATATGCATGGCAAGTCTTTATGCATTAACGAGTTGTCTGTGATCTGCCCAGCCTCCTAGCTACCGAGTTCCAGAACCAAGACCAGAACCCCGGATACCTGTTCTTTCCACCATACCCTACAGCCTTATTCACTTGAGCCCCCTGAAGCGTCACAGCCTCTGTGATACATAAAACACGGTATTTCAACCTTGGCTGTCTCTCAGAATCACCTAGAGGGCTTCCAGAATTACCGATGCCGTAGCCACCTACAGACCAATTAAATCAGAAGGGGTGTGGAAAGGAGGGAAGAGACTTGTAATTTTCTTTTTAAAGTACCACAGGTGATTTTATGTGAGCAGAATGGAGAAATACTGGATTTCAGCTTTTTTTTTTTAAGCTTGACAACACAGCTGTGTCTAGAAGGTTGATTAACCTGAATGTCATATTTCATATACTCAGAAAATACAAATTCCCAAGTGTTTTGGGTTTATGATTGACAAGGTGTTGAATAGGCGTGTTCCTCTTTGGCTAACAGATTTTTCCTTCATTGTAAATCCTTCCCAAAAATGGGAGTTAGGTATGATCATGTACACAAATTAATGTACAAGTATTTATCTTTTCAAAAAAGGCTTTACGTATTTATTGAAGAGGGAGAACAAGCAGGGGGAGTGGCAGGCGGAGGGAGAGGGAGAAGCAGGCTCCCCGATGAGCAAGGAGCCTGATAGGGGGCTTAATCCCAGGACCCCGGGATCATGACCTGAGCCAAAGACAGAAGCCCAGCTGGCTGAGCCCCTCAGATGCCCCAGTTTATTGAGAGAAACCAGAGTGAATGTTTCATGTGAGACATGGCCTAAAAGATGAATACATCCTGGTGGGATTGGTCAGGAGTGCGCTCATCTCTCTAAATGTTTGTAATTAAGTTACCCCAGGTCGATAACCTCAAAGCATACTCTCCTGAAAAGTAATGCCCGGAGGTGCTTCTGGAAAGAACAGGGCTCCTTGACTGTACACAATGATTTGGCCACCCACAGCTGCAAGGGAGGCTGTGATTAGCTTGGGCTGATCACAGCCCATCACTGGGGACCTTGACATATTTGCTGTCCCCAAATCACATCGAAGTAATGTTAAACCTGGGTAAGAGGTGAGGAATGGAGTTTGGGTAAGCAACTAAAAGAGTCTGCCACAGGGGCACCTGCGTGGCTCAGTCGATTGGGTAACTGACTCATGATTTTGCCTGAGGTCATGATCTCAGGGTCGTGAGATCCAGCCCCACATCAGGCTCTGTGCTTGAAATTCTCGACCCTCCTGCCTCTGCCCCTCCTCGCCTGTCCCAGCTCCACTCCCACTCTCTCTCTGTAAAAGTCTGCTGCAATTTTGTGGAACCTGTTGTTTTCCAGACATTTTGAACTCAACCCATTTTGTGAAATGCCATGAAAACTTGGGAAATGCTGGCCTTACACACACACGCACACACACACAGTTTGGGGAATTGAAGTATGTTTGTATTGACATTTTTTACTTAGTCTAAGGTGAATCAGACTTCCTGATTTGAAACTATCATGTTTCATTAGACTTACTTTTGCTGGACAGATTTCTTTAGAAAACACCACGTAGAAGCCCTGTCCTTCACAATGTTGCCTAATGGGACTTGCAGAGGTAGGCCACAGACATCCGTAGAGCTCGACCTTTTCATTTCACAGATTTGGAAAGTGAGGTCCAGAGAGATTAATTTACTCTAAGTGGTGAAACCTCCTCTACAGACATCCAGGCCAGCATTTTTCTGTCTTGTTATATTATCTCTCTCATCCCTTACTCTACCTGTAGTTACATTACTAATAAAATGACGTAAGGTGTGGATGTTAGCAGGTGTGCTGCTTAGACCTCAGCTTTTGGAAGGATGGTCACAGAGATTAAAATAATTGGTTTTCAGTTGGGTGTCTGCCTTTGGCTCAGGTCATGATCCTAGGGTCCTGGGATGGAGCCCCACATCAGGCTCCTTGCTCAGCAAGGAACCTGCTTTTCCTTCTTCCTCTGCCTGCTGCTCCCTTTGCTTGTGCTCATGCTCTCTTTCTCTGTCAAATAAAGAAATAAATAAAATCTTTAAAAAAAAAAAATACTGGGTTTGACTTCACATCTTCTTCGGATTCAGTCTTTTGAGATTTCTGGTCTCCGGATTTTCTTCTCTTGGAATCTACTGCCACGACACATCACCTTTGATGGTTCTTCGGGTCCCATGACTTTTGGGAGTGTGTGGTGACAATACAGGCCTAGGTATGTTCCTTGCCTGAGAGAGGTCCCCAGCTTGGAAAGGGGCCCAGAAGAAGGGTGGTTGAGTCTGATGCGTTCCCACCGGGTCTAGCTTGGCTCACCGGTTAGAGCTTCCACATAAATGGGGATGTCCAGAACCTTAGTGTAATCGTGAGCAGTGGCTTTTAGCTGCCCTTGGCCTCCTTTGGAGGCTTAGTAAAGGTCAACTGCTGCTACAGTGGGCATCACAGGTGTGGGGAAAGGGGAGTATTTCAGGGCCCTGCCTTCGGCCGTCCGTCAACATGACAGCGCCTCCAAGTCAGGTCCGTTCAGGAGAGAGAAGTCACACCGATTATTTGAACAGGGAATTTAACATCAGGATCAGCACATACTAAAGTGTTCACCAGGTAATCAAAAGCATAAAGAGCAATCTCTCTGGTGTCACAGAAGCAGCCCCTGCAGGAAGCAGCTACCACCTCTCCAGCTGGGGGAAAATAAGAAGAGGTTAGGGTTATTGCAATGTAGAAACTTTGAGGAACAGGAGCCCTGCATGACCAGCACTGGTCTCCGGGGGTGCGGATCTGACCACGCTGGTTCTTGAAGCACCCCAGGCTCAGCTGGTCCCGGATTGGAGAGGTCTGGGGGCGAGGTGTGCAGAGCCACAGGCAGCCCCGTGGCAGATAGGACAAGGGAGCCCCTTCTCCCTGTCCCAGCCTCACAGTACTGCCGTCCTTCATTGGCAGAGCCAACCCCAGAGCCTGCAGGAGTGTGGCTTCCCAGCTCCCAGCTCCAGCACCACTGAGGCCAGAATACAAGGTAGACTTGGGGTGAGGGCAGAGAAACGGCTGCGAGTTCTTACTTTAATAGATGTTCCACTCAAAGAGTTTACAAATCAGCCTCCCGTGAGCTTGAGCAGCTCAAATCAGTTCCTCCAGCCTGCCAGTAGTTCCTCCGGGGTAACTGATAACATCAGGATAGATCTGAGTCCAACATCGTGCCCATCAGATCCAACACCTTGGCTCCAACCGGCTGCACTTTTCCCTCTCAGCTCCCTGGGGCTGCTTCCATACATGAGTTTTGGGATACCAGAAGGGAAAAGTGCAGTCCCAGAATTCGGAAAAAAGAAAAAAGCAGCAGAAAGATACACGCTAGGAAATTCTATTCACTGCCAAGGCCTTCTGCCTCCTTAAATAACACTCTAATTCTGTGAAGGGAAGCAAGATACCCAGCGCCTTAAGTCAGTCAATCTGAGTACTTTTGGTCACATTTCCCAGAGTTTAACTGAAGATGGCCACGTCACACAGTCTGGCTGGAAAGATAGAAGTCATTTTGTTTACCGCTGAAAAAAGCCAGGCATGCCAAGAAAGATCCT